AGTGGAGCAAGAATGAAAATCAGTGATGTACTCGGGAATCAGAAATGTGGTTCGTTGTAAAGTCTAATACCTCATCGGATAACATCAAATTCAGAACTTCTGTAACTATAATTGGGTCCGGAGAAGATGCTATAGAGCCTAGAAAAGGTCATAAAAGTATATGAACTTAAACTTGGGCAAGCTTTTATAGATATGAAGACATCGGCAGTGAAAGATTAATGTTAATTCGAATCCACATTCTTACATAAGACCCTTGTCTCTTCTTGCACTGATCCAACTTCTCTATATAACTTTAGGAGCCAATCTAGTCCATCCCTATTGTCAGCACTTGTATTCCTTATTATAGCTGTATAAGCAGCCTACAGAATGTGTTATCGCATGTTCATTAAGGTGGATTAGACAATGTTAAGTAGTATTAAGATAGAAAATGAATTAAAATCTTGTCTTATGTTACCTTTCTGGTGTTAACCGGAAGAAGTGACGTGTTTCTATTGTCTAAAAATGCATGAAACCGTTTCGTTGCTTCTCGCAAGCTTTTATAGATATGAAGACATCGGCAGTGAAAGATTAATGTTAATTCGAATCCACATTCTTACATAAGACCCTTGTCTCTTCTTGCACTGATCCAACTTCTCTATATAACTTTAGGAGCCAATCTAGTCCATCCCTATTGTCAGCACTTGTATTCCTTATTATAGCTGTATAAGCAGCCTACAGAATGTGTTATCGCATGTTCATTAAGGTGGATTAGACAATGTTAAGTAGTATTAAGATAGAAAAATGAATTAAAATCTTGTCTTATGTTACCTTTCTGGTGTTAACCGGAAGAAGTGACGTGTTTCTATTGTCTAAAAATGCATGAAACCGTTTCGTTGCTTCTTCACGAGTTTGAGGATGGCCAAAACTAGCCAATGCCTTCAGAACCTCTTCCCTCATCAGTGCATTTAATTGGCTTTCTTCAGATGCAGCATCCCAACCTAATTTCCTATTAAACCAGATATAATCGGATATATAGATCCTTGAATTTAATCACTTTATTTTTCAACATAAATGTAGCAGAAGAGATGAAAAGCAATTGTTGATTACTAATGTGAAAAGGATATAAATTCATTCAACTGATTAAATTTAAGGTACAAGCAAATGTATGGCATTCTCACTCTGCTGATAATAGGAGGAGATTAATGCAGAATTGTTTCAAATCAGACACCAACTCTGGAATGGCATCGCTAATAATATTCACGGCACTATAGCATACCTGTTGGAAAAATTCACAGAATTAATCTCTATACTTCAAATGTGCATTTAATTGGCTTTCTTCAGATGCAGCATCCCAACCTAATTTCCTATTAAACCAGATATAATCGGATATATAGATCCTTGAATTTAATCACTTTATTTTTCAACATAAATGTAGCAGCAGAGATGAAAAGCAATTGTTGATTACTAATGTGAAAAGGATATAAATTCATTCAACTGATTAAATTTAAAGTACAAGCAAATGTATGGCATTCTCACTCTGCTGATAATAGGAGGAGATTGATGCAGAATTGTTTCAAATCAGACACCAACTCTGGAATGGCATCGCTAATAATATTCACGGCACTATAGCATACCTGTTGGAAAAATTCACAGAATTAATCTCTATACTTCAAATATGTGATTACTGAAATGCAACAGAAACTTCATACATCAATAAGTCTTGATAGTACGATGTAATCAAGTTCCTTCCTATACACCTCCATCAGGGAAAGCAAAGATGAAAATGGCATCTCACAAGCCTCACAAAGAGCAAATGTATCATCCAAAATTCCTGAGAAGAAATTTTGCAGTGAATACCCAATGAATAAATAAAGAAAAAGCATAAGCACAGCTATACCGGTCATATCATGTCTGGTAAGGTGGACTATGAAGAAAGTATCGTACGAATCATAATCGTTACAAAATATCGAGCATGAGAATTAAATCAATCAATAATAATTAAAAGGAGTTAGAGAAAATAGTGTGCACCATATTCATCTGCTGCTGATAAGTAGTTGCCCTCTATAGCATTCTTTAACCCAACCATAAGGTTATTATCATACTTCACCCTGTAAAAACCAGCCTGGTGTACATTTATTTTGATCCATCCATTATTGCCAAAATCCTTCTGGTTATGCTGTTCGTGACCGCTTGAACTTATATCAGAAGAATGGAAAAATTCCGCTATATCCAATTGCCCATTTTTCGTTTGTAGAAGGAACTTTTTTTGCTTACTGTATGAACCAAGGGACAGGATAATTGGGACAATCCATTGACCATCAGAACATGAACCAGAAGATAGAAATTGATTCTACAGACGATGGAGAGGTATCATTTATGGCAAAATAGAATTTGTTCACCATAAAGAAAATGAATATATGAACCTGTTCGAATTTCAAGACACGATCTTTCAGCTCTACAGAGATAACCGGATAGCCTTTTTGCTTTGTCCATATCTCCATGATTGTGTTAACTTCAACGCCAGATACTTCTGTGAGAACATTCCACAAGTCTTCAGTCTTGGCATTTGCAAATGCATATTTCTTCATGTACATACCTAAAGACTTCTGATATAATAAAGAAGTAGGAAGGTTGGCAAAATTTCAAAATAATGATATTCTATTGATGTAATCACGTAAAAGAAGGAAGAAGTGTAATATTGATTATATATTGACAATCATCGAAAAGTTGGATAATGGATTTTACTACCTGGAATATTTCATCACCAAGATAATCCTGTAACATCCGAATCACTGATGAACCCTTTCTGTAGCTTATTGCATCAAAAAATTCAAGAACTGATCGAGCTTGGTGTATTTCCACCTGCTCAAAAATTTTATAACCATCCAATAAATGACTAACACAAGCTCAAGAAATAGTAAAAATTTATTCTACATCTATAACATTTACCTCGATTGGATGAGATTGTTCCAAGCCATCCATACGCAGGCCACTAGTCATCTCTCGAAGAAACTGATTCCAAATTTTCCACTCGGGGACTAACTTATCAGTAACCAAATAACTTACCTAAGAGCATTGGATTGCAAAATTAGGCAATAGCAAAGACATTATAATCACTGAATCGCATTATGCTGAGAAGGATTACCCAAGTTGCAAACCCCTCATTAAGCCATAGATGAGTCCACCATTCCATTGTAACCAAGTTACCAAACCAGTGGTGAGCAACTTCATGTGCCACAACAATTGTAAGCTGTCACAGATTCAAAAAATAATAGAAAAATTGAGTAATACTTCTTGTTATCATATTTTCCGAGGCAAAAATTGGTAAAATATATATGCGGATTTGTTACCTACCCTTATTACGTTAGCTGCAGCAGAATGCAATTCATCTTGAAGCAGCTCAGTTTCTCGATATGTAATCAATCCATAATTCTCCATGGCTCCACCAGAAAATTCAGGAACTGAAACCATATCAAGCTTCGGAAGAGGATAAGGCATTGAAAAATACCTGTATAATTCCACAGTAATTTAAAATTCAAGCAAATATAAAAATAAAATGAACCTAACATTTAATCTGAATTGGCATTTAATATACAACCGCGTTTTTGCAACACTACCAATCATCAACACAAATTTCGATGAATTATATGTATACTTAAGATCACTTACTTCTCAAAAAAGTCCAGTGTCTTCATTGCTATATTTAAAGCAAACTTCCCCTTCTCACTTTTACCGGTAGGAGTATATACTTGGATCATGATTCCTGCACAAATAGTTTAGGATTAGTTAAACTTTAGAAATGGACAAACACGAATATTTTAATATAGCATCCCCTCGACAATGTATTTATGCATACCATCATCTGTTATGTCTTTAATGTGGTCGTACAAACCAACTACAACAGCCACCAAATAAGTCGACATAACTACTGATTCTTCAAAATAAACAGTCTTAAGGTGCCCATCAAGTTTTTCCTCTAAAATTGGCATATTTGACAATGCTGTCAACTCCAATGGAACGTTTTCTAATGTTATCTTGAAGGTAGCCTGCAAAGAGGATATTGTCACAAGACCAAACATGTAGAGAAAATTGTTAATCAAAAGATTAGTCCATCTATTAAAATGCATAAATTTCAAAGATTGGTTCTTAAAGCGTTCTTGCACCACATCCAACTTTGATCATCCCAAAGAGAAGCACCAAATCGACTTAATGAGATCGAATTTTTTTTTTTTTTTGGTATGGACCTTGAGAGCAGGTTCATCCCAGCATGGAAAGCACCTTCGTGCGTCCACTGCCTCAAATTGAGTCGCAGCCATATTCTTCTTTTCTCCTTCATCCATGTAAGTACTGTCATAATTAATGTGTTGTTCACGATTTTGGGATAAGAAATAAACAAAACAAAACAAAACAAACCATGGATAAATTGAAGCAATCTTTTCTTCGTTCAGACATCTAGAACTTTGACAATGTAGAGCATAGTGAACAACTGGTTGAACTCTGAGTTTAAAATTAAAAAAACAAACTATATTTCTACTTCGAATGCAAAAATAATCATTACTGCAATCATGTTATCTTCTAATGTTTCGAAATCAAGTTATTAATAACTATTTCTAAGGAAAAAACAAAATAACCTCCCAAGTTTCAGAAGACTTAATGGTTTATCCAAAACATTGAAATTCCCAATTTAAATTCTTCATTCTATAATTTATTTCATCAATGTAAGTACTGTCACAATTAATGTTTTGTTCAAGATTTTGGATAAGAAATAAACTAAATTAAACAAAACAAACCATGAATAAATCGAAGCAACCTTTTCTTTGTTCAGACATCCAGAACTTCTACACTGTTGAGCATAGTGAACGAAGGGTAGAACTCTAAGTTAAAAGAACTGTCTTTTCTACTTCGATCACAAAGGTAATCTTTACTGCAATCATGTTTTATTCTAATATATCGAAATTGAGTTACAAATAACTATTTCTAAGGTAAAAGAGGAAAACCAAAAACAAAAAAAAGGCAAAAAAAAACGAAAAAAAAAAAAAAAAGAGTTGCCTCCCAAATTTCAGAAGACTCAAAGATTTATCCAAAACATTGAAAGTTCCCATTTTAAATTCCTCATTCTATAATTTGTTTCATGACAATACACAAAAATATCTTTCCTCAAATCAATTGAAGGAAAAATCAAGCAGAGAACATATAGGAAATTAGAAAAATTAAGGAAAAAAGAGAAGGCACCATCTGTAGAAGCCCTTCAATTGTTCATTAAGAACCCCTGAAAATCTGATCTCCAGTACTCCATTGCCCACATTCAATACCTGATCAAACACCAGCACTAGTATCTCGGCTTCGTTATCAACGACAATATCTGATGGAACATATTTCTGCAAGAAAAAACAAGAATGATCAAAAGTGAATTGTTAATTCTTGAGTTCCTATAAGTTTAAGTAAGTAAGTTACTTGAGATTGAAAGTTGGCGAAGGAGGCTTGATGAATGACTAGTTCAAGTGCATTCAAGACGAGGAATCTCGTGGCTCGATTGATGACAACATCAACAAGTACAAACCCAGAAAAAGTACAACCCAAAAGATCAAGTTTTAGAGTGAGATCATAACGTTTAGGAACTGCGAAATCTGGAAGTCTGGTTTGTTCTTTGAAGTGTTCAAGCTTTTGTTCTTCAAACTCCATTACCCACTATTTTCTGATCACTCTTGCACTCTGAGTCAAACAAACTGAAGAAAATCCTTGTAAAGGAACTGACATATAAAGCAACAAAAGATAAGAAAAGATGACTTTTTTTTTTCTCCTCCTTTTTGTATTTGGGTGGGATTGGGTTTAGTTCGTTTTCTGGAGTTCCTTTTACGGCCGGCATGCTTGACCTTGTGAAGATTATCAGTATCAGTTATTGGTACTTGGGTTTGTCATCAAGTTGGAACGTTAGATTCCATTTCCCACAATGACCTTTGTTGGGACCCACAAATTATATATACCTATTTACTCATTCATTGCTCATTTTTACATAATTTATAATTTAAATAGGTTATAAACCACTTCCAGACATGCTTAGATAAACTCCACCAAAATTTTCTATTATAAGCGTAGCATTCATGTCTCTAATGTATCATTTGTTCTTAAAACTTTAGCAGGCTGATCAAGGGGACCCAAACTTGCTTCATTTAAATAAAAATCAGAATCTTTAGAGCTTGTTTGGGAGTAATTTTGAGAATTGATTTTTTGACTATTTGGAGAAAAGTGGAGTTCACCTGTGAGAGAAGAAGTCAAATATAACGGCTGAAATAGTATAATAACAGTCAAAAAATTAATTTTTTTGATGAAAAAATGGGGTCCAAACAGGCTTTTAGTAAATTTTGATTAAAAAAAAGAAAAAAAGATGAAATGTGTTGTTCTGTGCAATATGTTGTTAGAATCAATTGGAAGCTAACCCTGAAACTTCCAATCCTGCGGGATAAAGGTTCATCGAAATATTATCAAATCAAAAGCCTATCCCTATAGAATTAAGCCACATGGGCCCTGATATTGTTGGGGGGCAGCTGCGGGAGATTAAAGAAAAATCTTGTAGACGTCAGCAAGTGGTGCAAGTTGTGGAATGGCTGGCTGACAGATGGTAGGTTCGGTTCCAAGCATGTGTTCAAGAAAAAAATATCATTTCACCCATTTTAATTTGTAAAAATGAGGCCAACGGGGGCCTATGCATGGTATAACGGATAGCTGCATCTCTAATGTCTGAAAAGTCGAAAGTGTAAGGTATAACTTTCCACAAATACCCCTACTTTCTAAAGATAATTACACGAACATTTCTTTTTCAATTTTTGCATAAAGAATAAAATGTTGCTTGCGGTCCTCCTTTTAAAGGTTGATACTCCTTTTCCCCATTCCATTGACCAAATACTACTTTCAAGTGTTGAAATATCTTATGTTTCCAACTTTACCAACTCAATATTTTGAATAATTCGATTAATTAACCATTATGAACCACCTTATAGAGTTTATTAGACAACTTGATATCAAATTGAGCGAATGCTTTTTGTATTAGGTTGTTTGATCGAAAGATATTTGTTGACAAATCACAACTATATGGGTTCATGCAGTATTTGTTGACAAATCTATCATTTCAAGAGTGAGAGCTAAAAACCAAATTATGCCAATAATTGGAGCATAGACTATATATGGGTTCATGCAGTATTTCTACAAAATCTTATTACCATGTGATACAGACTAAAATGTTAAAATTATTCAAAAAGATTCGATTTTAATTTAGCAATTTGAATAGGTCAAAATCCCTTTGCTTCAACTCATCACAAACGTCACGTAACGTAAGCGTATGTAATCATTTAACGTTCAAACAAATGTTTTCTGTAAGTAAGACCATTATATAATAAATTGTAGAAAGACATGAGTATCGCACTTACGAAAAGTTAGAGATGTAAGTGAAATTTACCCATTTTTTGACTTTGTGAACCAGTGATTGTTACTTGAATTTGTCATCGAGTTTGAACTTCAGATTCCAATTCTCTGTCACAAATATGAATAAAACAATTGCTATTGAACATTCATGACAATACACAAAAATATCTTTCCTCAAATCAATTGAAGGAAAAATCAAGCAGAGAACATATAGGAAATTAGAAAAATTGAAGAAAAAAGAGAAGGCACCATCTGTAGAAGCCCTTCAATTGTTCATTAAGAACCCCTGAAAATCTGATCTCCAGTACTCCATTGCCCACATTCAATACCTGATCAAACACCAGCACTAGTATCTCGGCTTCGTTGTCAACGACAATATCTGATGGAACATATTTCTGCAAGAAAAAACAAGAATGATCAAAAGTGAATTGTTAATTCTTGAGTTCCTATAAGTTTAAGTAAGTAAGTTACTTGAGATTGAAAGTTGGCGAAGGAGACTTGATGAATGACTAGTTCAAGTGCATTCAAGACGAGGAATCTCGTGGCTCGATTGATGACAACATCAACGAGTACAAACCCAGAAAAAGTACAACCCAAAAGATCAAGTTTTAGAGTGAGATCATAACGTTTAGGAACTGCGAAATCCGGAAGTCTGGTTTGTTCTTTGAAGTGTTCAAGCTTTTGTTCTTCAAACTCCATTACTCACTATTTTCTGATCACTCTTGCACTGTGAGTCAAACAAACTGAAGAAAATCCTTGTTTAGGAACTGACATATAAAGCAACAAAAGATAAGAAAAGATGACTTTTTTTTTCTCCTCCTTTTTGTATATGGGTGGGATTGGGTTTAGTTCGTTTTCTGGAATTCCTTTTACAGCCGGCATACTTGACCTTGTGAAGATTATCAGTATCAGTTATTGGTACTTGGGTTTGTCATCAAGTTGGAACGTTAGATTCCAGTTCCTAGAATGACCTTTGTCGGGACCCACAAATTATATATATCTATCTACTCATTCATTGCTCATTTTTACATAATTTATAATTTAAATTGGTTATAAACCACTTCCAGACGTGCTTGGATAAACTCTACCAAAATTTTCGCATTCATGTCCCTAACGTATCATTTGTTCTTAAAACTTTAGCAGGATGATCGAGGGGACCCAAACTTGCTTGCGGCTACATCTCTTCTCTAAGCAGGGGCAGATCCAAGTGGGGTCAAATGACCTCACAATTTTTTGGATTTTTTTTTTCCCTTTCTGAAAACTTGATTTTCTGTTCCAAAAAGTTCAAATCCTAAATCTATATACATATCACATGGTCCATATCTATTATTTAGTCCATAAATATATCATACAATCCAACGATTTTTTCTCAAAGTGCAAACACCGAACATGAACAGCAAACAACCGATTTTTCCTTTTTGTTCATGATACGTTATTCGAAAAAAAAAAAATTTGACCCCACATTTCGAACTGTTTGAGTCCGCCCCTGTCTCTAAGGTGAACGTATCTATCATTTCAAGAGTGAGAACTAAAAACCAAACTATGCCAATAATTGGAGCATAGACTATATATGGGTTCATGCAGTATTTCTACAAAATCGTATTACCACCTCACGAGCTAAGGGAAAATATTACCATGTGATACAGACTAAAATGTTAAAATTATTCAAAAAGATTCGATTTTAATTTAGCAATTTGAATAGGTCAAAATCCCTTTGCTTCAACTCTTCACAAACTTCACGTAAGCGTATGTAATTATTTAACGTTCAAACAAATATTTTCTGTAAGTAAGACCATTATATAATAAATGGTATAAAGACATGAGTATCGCGCTTACAAAAAGTTAGAGATGTAAGTGAAATTTACCCATTTTTTGACTTTGTTAAGATTAAGAACCAGTGGTTGTTACTTGAATTTGTCATCGAGTTTGAACTTCAGATTCCAATTCTCTGTCACAAATATGAATAAAACAATTGCTATTGAATGTGTTTAAATAATATACTACTTATTAATTTTTTTAAGGAAGAAAATCATTAAATTCTTGTCAATATAAATAACTTAGGACCGAGCTACACGAACTGCAAGGATGACAGCATACACACAAATGGGGGGTCGGGAATTTTAAATTCAGACGGGACCCACATCAACCATGTGAGAGCACGGTCAGCCATTGTGTCAACCTCTACGGTTGTTTGTCTTAATTCAATAACTTAACGAAACACTCACTAGTCATGTTCAAGGTCTATTGGTCTAAGATTTATTTGTCTATTAGTGTCACTTGAAAGTGTATATGTATATATATATATATATATATACACAATAACTCTTTACAATTATTTTTATTAGATATTAAGACCAACACTATTGTAGAGTTACTATTAAGAGAGCCTTGAAATTGTGCTCCACTTGACTTTCGACGTATGATAAATTCTATTCTTAATGATCATTATTGAAACTCTCTCTTTCTACTACCAAAAGCAATGTCTCTGCCCTTATAGTTGCTGAAGCCTTTTGAGGATTGAATTGCAACCAATTTGTTCGGGATTGAATCTAGTTTATCTTATGATTTGTCTCGACTTTTACGCTTCCATTTACGTCACATCTTGAAGTTGTGTGTACTTCAATGGAATTTTTTCTTTATCAATTCAAAAGTTACGAAGATACTAACTTGATCCACTTATAATATTGTTCATATTCTTTGTTACTTTAAATCTTTTCCAACGATTCACTTTCCCCGGTGTTGATTGGGCAAGTTTGCCATATGACACACTAATCCACGATAGATGCTTTACCATGTCGATTATATTTTATTTCTTGAAAAATTAAAAAACAAATAATAATTTTCAAGTCTTGAGCTGATGTTCAATGTTGAGCTTAAAAGACTTGATGTAGTTTCAAAGAGTAAAAATCTCAAATCGTATGTTATTTTGACAAAATGCAACTACATTGAGAAGAAAGAAACATAAACAGGCACTACACTCATATATGTAGTGTTACAATAGGCTTACAGCCAATGTGAAGTACAAGAAAATGCAGAAACTAACAAGCCTTCGGGCACACACGAGTATATGAATAGACACAAAGTAATGTTCCAAGAAGCATTAGGATTACGTAACGTGATTATCACTCTCTTTCTTTATTCGCTTGAAGTTATACGTCTCTTAACATTTTGCTGGATGAGGAAGTTTGCACTTAGCCGGCAGCTGCATGGCAAGATTTGGGTCGACTCCCAGGGACGGCAACAATTTGGAGTTCTTGTAGGAGCAAAGGCAGCGCAAGTCTGCGTGTGAGAGCGCAGAACAACAGGCGGACGAGGGAGGTGGTGGGGTCGGGGGTGTAGCTGCTGGCTTGCATGCCATCAGACCCGCACCAGACATGTTGCATATGGTTTGTGCATTCAACACCTCGATAACGTTACTGCTTATGGCTACAAAAAGCAGCATCGAAATCGCAACCTTCTGATATGCCTCCATATTATAGGATTTTTTGAACTCTGTTTCTTTTGCTTGCTCTGTGAGGTTGGATGAAATGAATGGGGCTGTTATATAAAAAAAAGGGGCGGGGAGGTATGCAAAACAATAAGAATAGAAGCCCGTGAATGTACAGTGGCATACCTTTATAGGATTACTGTGTTCTCACGGGCATTGCATTTGTGGTGTGAGAGTCCCTGAGAAGTCAATTTCAGAAACATTATCGTTGTATCAAATTGAGAATGAATTAAAAATTTGATTATTTCCCGTGATCAAATCACAATTTTGTCTTGTACTGAAATTTATAAGGTCATTAGAAGGCTACAAACTCGACAGATTGAAGAGGAAAAGGAAATACCTTACGGCGTAGGAGCAAAGGCAGCGCAAGTCTGCGTGTGAGAGCGCAGAACAACAGGCGGACGAGGGAGGTGGTGGGGTCGGGGGTGTAGCGGCTGGCTTGCATGCCATCAGACCCGCACCGGACATGTTGCATATGGTTTGTGCATTCAACACCTCGATAACGTTACTGCTTATGGCCACAAAAAGCAGCATCGAAATCGCAACCTTCTGATATGCCTCCATATTATAGGATTTTTTGAACTCTGTTTCTTTTGCTTGCTCTGTGAGGTTGGATGAAATGCATGGGGCTGTTATATAAAAAAAAAAAGGGCGGGGAGGTGTGCAAAACAATAAGAATAGAAGCCCGTGAACGTACAGTGGCATACCTTTATAGGATTACTGTGTTGTCACGGGCATTGCATTTGTGGTGTGAGAGTCCCTGAGAAGTCAATTTCAGAAACATTATCGTTGTATCAAATTGAGAATGAATTAAAAATTTGATTATTTCCCGTGATCAAATCACAATTTTGTCTTGTACTGAAATTTATAATGTCATTAGAAGGCTACAAGCTCGACAGATTGAAGAGGAAAAGGAAATACCTTACAGATTCTTGGGCTGCTAAGATTTACATTAGGCTTCAGAAATTTTCCATAGCTTCCATCGGATGAAGTGATGAACGTCTTCCAAACCATCACATGAACACAACTTGCCACTTTATGGGGACTTTCAACACAGTGTCCTGCACCTGCCACTTTGCAAGAGAACGGGAACTTTCAACGCAGTCAACTGCTTTGGTAAACGCTCCCAGAGGATCGGCAGGTAGTGAATGGATATCATCATGCATATTTAGCCATAGTGTTGATCACAACCTCATACAGTACCTTTTGAATCGGAACAAGCTCAGCAACTGATCACGTAGAAAGGAGAAAATAGGATGGCTTCAAATAACGCAATAAAGTAAATTGGCAAAAAATTCTTCAATGCATTCTGGTTTTGCACAAATTAGAAACCAAAAATTAAGAAACTTAAATAAGTTCTCATTTTTCCAGAGCAAGGCACGACAACCTATTATTGCTGCACAAGTCAGCACAAGAAGTTACACCCTTTTTGTACTAATATCTTTTTCAGATGTGTCTAGCTTTGACAAATAAGTTCTCATTTTTCCAGAGCAAGGCACGACAACCTGTTATTGCTGCACAAGTCAGCACAAGAAGTTACACCCTTTTTGTACTAACATCTTTTTCAGATGTGTCTAGCTTTGACAAATGAACTGACTCCTACTACTTTCGATTACCCAGGAAACAATAGGCTAAAGATGGGATCAAAATATTTGGTGGGAAGCAAATGGCATCTGGTAGATAGGAGGTGAATATTTACAGGAAAATAAAATGCCATCTTTAATGCTATTTTAAGATAATATACGAAGCAGTAGAACCATGCAGATCAATATAGTGAATCTTCTAAAAGTAAAGTTAATGGAATAAGAAATATTCAGCAGGAAATCTTTTTGAGGAAATAAACACTTGAAAAATACTTCTTACCAGTGCCAGTTTCCACATAATTCTCAAACACCCTTAAACATATGTATGCTTTTTCATGGAAAGCTGACATAAGCACATATGTTCACCTGTAAAGTTGACAAACAGTTGCATTCATCAAAGAACAAAGTTATGAATTATCACATGCTCACAGAAAATTGACTAACAGAACAAATAGTCACGGTCAACAGTTCCATGGAACAATCAAAAAGGCAAGGCTTGTTCCATGGTCATAAACAACATCTTTTGAATCGGAACAAGCTCAGCAACTGATCACGTAGAAAGGAGAAAATAGGATGGCTTCAAATAACGCAATAAAGTAAATTGACAAAAAATTCTTCAATGCATTCTGGTTTTGCACAAATTAGAAACCAAAAATTAAGAAACTAAAATAAGTTCTCATTTTTCCAGAGCAAGGCACGACAACCTATTATTGCTGCACAAGTCAGCACAAGAAGTTACACCCTTTTTGTACTAACATCTTTTTCAGATGTGTCTAGCTTTGACGAATAAGTTCTCATTTTTCCAGAGCAAGGCACGACCACCTGTTATTGCTGCACAAGTCAGCACAAGAAGTTACACCCTTTTTGTACTAACATCTTTTTCAGATGTGTCTAGCTTTGACAAATGAACTGACTCCTACTACTTTCGATTACCCAGGAAACAATAGGCTAAAGATCGGATCAAAATATTTGGTGGGAAGCAAATGGCATCTGGTAGATAGGAGGTGAATATTTACAGGAAAATAAAATGCCATCTTTAATGCTATTTTAAGATAATATACGAAGCAGTAGAACCACGCAGATCAATATAGTGAATCTTCTAAAAGTAAAGTTAATGGAATAAGAAATATTCAGCAGAAAATCTTTTTGAGGAAATAAACACTTGAAAAATACCTCTTACCAGTGCCAGTTTCCACATAATTCTCAAACACCCTTAAACATATGTATGCTTTTTCATGGAAAGCCGACATACGCACATATGTTCATCTGTAAAGTTGACAAACAGTTGCATTCATCAAAGAACGAAGTTATGAATTATCACATGCTCACAGAAAATTGACTAACAGAACAAATAGTCACAGTCAACAGTTCCATGGAACAATCAAAAAGGCAAGGCTTGTTCCATGGCCATAAACAACACAAGGCAAAGGATCAATTCAAAATGTAAACCCATTATTCCTTTGCAACCAAAATTCCCTCATGTGACAATACAGTTCCTAACAGCAGTAAACCACCTCAAATAGTTTTTGATACAATCAATGAGTACTCAGCATTGCATCTAATTCTACATAACTTATCAGCCAACAGCAATGATAATGCGGAAATGTTAAACAAATGCAACAACTTAACCCGCTAAAAATAACTGGAAATTAGGAGCAAAACTTAATACTCTCACAAAATACAACTAGTCTAATGTTTGGAATCCTTGCTCATCAGATAGTTTTTTAGAACATCCATGACCGACCCAAAATCTGCCTTCACTTGCACGGGTGGATTTGCAAACCGGCAGGCCATGTCTTTAATCTCCCCAGAATGATAATCGACCTTGGATTGCGTGAACTTTAACCCATGAGCGGTACTTACGACAACAGTCCTATCTGTTGGACCAATAACCCCACTTTGCCTCAACTTAAACAATGCAGTCAATGCCACGCCAGTATGAGGGCATATAAACATACCAGTCGAGTCTGCCTGAGCCATAGCATCCATCAACTCCTCCTCCGTCGCCTCCTCAACAATCCCATTTGAATTCTTCAATGCAAAAACTGCCCTATCAATTGAAACTGGATCGCCAATCTGAATTGCAGAGGCGAATGTAGCACCCGCCTTAACTGGCTTAAAGTCCTTCCATCCTGATTTGTAATGCAAGTAAAGTGGATTAGCATTGGATGCTTGAGCACAAACAAGCCTCGGAATCCTATCAACGAGTCCCAACTCTTTACACATATTAAAACCTTTGTAAAATGCATATATATTCCCCAAATTTCCACCAGGAACAATCACCCAATCGGGCACTTCCCAATCGAACTGCTGCAAAATCTCAATTGCAGCAGTTTTCTGCCCTTCTAGCCTCAAGCTGTTCAAAGAATTTGCCAAATAAATGGGTAACTCAGACGTGACTTCACGAATCAACTGCATACAACCATCAAAATCAGTATCTATACTCAATACAAAAGCCCCGTTGGCTATTGGCTGAACCAACTGCGCTATGGATATCTTATTCGCTGGCAAAAACACAATGGATGGAATCCCAGCAGCAGCACAATAAGCCGACAGAGCCGCTGATGTATCACCCGTGGATGCACACCCTACTCCCACCACGGGCCGGTTCAATTTGCGCAGCCGATTCACCTGACTCACCAAAACGGTCATTCCTAAGTCCTTAAAACTACCCGTATGACTAATCCCACAATGTTTCACCCACAAATCATTCATGCCAAGAAACTGTTTGCCAAAACGTTCAGCCCAAAAGAGATTCGAGTTGCCCTCAAATGCACTAATAATATCATCGCTATCAATTTCCGGTAAAACCCACTCCTTTTTGGACCAGACTCCCGACCCATACGGCCATGTGGTCTTGCCGACACGGGAATCGAAAAGGGATCGCCAGTAGTGACCATCAAATTTCTTGAGAGCGTCCATATCGTGCTGGACGTCGAGGAGGCCACCAGAGCGGCTTCGATACACAATCTCATCGAGTGAATAAGACTCGGTCGAGGTGGGGTCGGCGTTAAAGGGCACGTACTTGGCTGAGAAGTTGTGAGCGGCATTGTGGCGCCGGGCCTCGTCACGTATATTCTCGTCTGCTGAGCGTCGGTGCTTGAGATGGTTAGATGATTGTGGCGCCGGTGAAGGGGGAGGGGTGGCGGGGTCGGAAGTGGTGGTGGCTCTGATTGGAATAAAGTTGGTAGTGGACGGGGGTTTGGCTGTGGCAGAGGAATGTTGATGAAGGAGTTGCGGGGAGAGAAAGGAGGATCTGAAAATGGGAGAAGCCGCCATTGTTGAGAGGAAAATGGAAAATTAGGGGTGTCGAGTGAGAGTAGCGATGTTTTGAGGGGAAGTCTTGTTTGGCAACACTTAAAATTATATTAAGGATAATTTTGACTAGTTTAAGGATAATGTAAAAATAATGGATTAGACAGTTTAAAAAGGAGGAAACCTTTCCTCCTTTTTAAACTGAGAATACATTATTTGAAAAATTATTTTTCACATTTTTTAATATCCAAAAATGTCACTTTTAGAAAAATCTTTCTGGTAGGAGAAATTAATATTATTTGTAATGTCACTCTTTCTACTAAGGGTCCGTTTGATTGTAAAGGTGGAATTTGGATGGATAGAAAATGAATTTCAGAGAATTGAATTGATGAGAAATTATTTTCCTGAGAATTGTAAATTATTATGTTTGATTGGTATAATTTTTCATGTGAAAAATATTTAAATTAAAGTGTTTTTATGTCCATTTGACTTTATTTTACATGAAATTTGTCAATTAAAGGGATAGAATTCATTGGTATTATGGATGAAATTTGTTTCCATTGCCAAAAAAAAACAAAAATTTCAAGAAAATCATCTATCTTTTTATATTCGTTTGGCTACAATAATTCTTAGAATTTGTCTTTATTGCCAACAAACAAAAAAAATTAAAAAAAAAACGCTACAGTAACCTAGAATTGCAATTCTCACCATATTGGTGAGAATTGCAATTCCTTCATTTGGTGGAATTGGGTTGATGTGGCACAAAATAGGGCTGCAAGCAAAAATCGAATCGAAATCGTATTTTAGAAACCGTCGGTTTGGTGCCACGTGGACCCGGTCAACGAAATGATTTTGACCCAAACCAAACTGGTCAAAATGGTTTGGTTTAGGTTTGAGAATTTTAATTTCGGTTTAAAACCAAATAGGACCAGCGAAAAAATATATAAAAATAAAAAAATGAAAAAAATGAAATTTTTTGAAAATTCATCTAAATATGTAAAATTCAATAGTTTTGTCATTTGTGGGTATTTTTGTCAATTCCTAATTTTCTAATACAGATATATTATTATTATTATTATTATTATTATTATTATTATTATACAATAATCATAATGTATATTTAATAATTTCAAAACTAACATAATCTATCAAAAGTCTTTTCCCTCTTTAAAATTTAGATGAACTCCAGTCGACATTCAACACAATTTTGAGCCACCAACGCACACTTCTTTTTCAGATTTTTCATGCCCCTTCAAAGTTGAATTGAAGTCCATTATACCAGACCGGAGACAAAGAGATCCTAGACTTTCGGCGATAATATTTGCCACAAATAAAGTTTCAGATCAATAATTTTTTGGAGCAAACTAAGGTAAGAATCTGAAATTAAACGTGTATCGTAACATCATACAAACGTAAACTTGTGTACTTGTTATGTTTAGATATTATAAACAATTGCTTTATTATTGTGGTTGATTATTCTCTTTGTTTAATCAGTATCCTTTTTTTTAGATATGATGATCACGAGATCTTGTTGGATATCATTATGTTTTTTGGACCTAAGATCTAGTTTAGTAGACTTGTATTGTAACGTTATTGTATCGTCATTAGCCTAAAAAAGGTGAACAAAAATGAAAAAAAAAAAAAAACTATGTTTTAGTTTATTGTGATTTTACTTTGATTTAGTTGATATTTAAATTTATAGTAGATATATTTAGCCTCTGTTTAAGCCATATTTTTCATATTATCATAATGAAAAAATTGACTATTGGAGAGGAGGTTGAGTCGCACACATGAAATAGCAGGTCAACAAAGGTATGGTCTTGTGGAATAATGGTCCAAATTTTCATTTTTTTGTTCCAAAAATTTGGTTCAAATTGGAGCTTAGTTTGTTTTAGATTTATTACTAATGAGATATAAATATATATTAAATTCAATGAGTTAATGACATAAAAGTAGACTAGCAAAAAATATATGGCGAAACCGACGGTTTAAAACCGGACCACACTGTTAGGTTTAGA